ACACACACACCCCTTTACCAAACACTGTGTTCTTCTCCAGGTCTTGATCGCTCCTGAAAACATGTCCAGAGGACAGGAGACGAAGTCTTGCCATCCTTGCCTTCAAGGAGCATTCTGGCCATTCTCGTTCCAAGACAGGCTTCCTGTGTAGTGGAGCATTGTGAAACTGTGTCCGGTGTCCCCGAGAGAGGGGTGGGGGTGCAGAAACTGCCGAGGGAGAGACATAGTTTCCCCTGGAAGATGGTCAGACAGCGCGCACGCAACCTTCTTCGTTTTAATTATTCAGGGGGCACTGGGTGGTTGTTTTTTTCCCCCTCCAAAAGGGAGCAGTCGTCTGAATCCGTTTGGGCACCAGTGTGCTTAAAGGTTACTTCTGTCCTTTTTAGTGGCGAGTGCGCAAAGAGGCCATGATGGGGCTGGCTCAGATCTATAAGAAGTACGCTCTGCAGTCGGCCGCGGGGAAGGATGCTGCGAAACAGATCTCCTGGATCAAGGACAAGCTGCTGCACATCTACTACCAGAATAGCATCGACGACCGGTAAGGCCCGGGCCTGACCTCTAGCCTGTTCCCGGGAGGTCTCGCTCCCTCTTCAGAGTGGCCATGCACACACACGCTTTCCTGTAGGAGATCAGAATGAGAACATGAAGAAGCTAGAGGTCATGCTATCCTTGCCAGAGCTTCAAAACGAGAAATTGCATCTTTTCGTTTTACCGTGTTGACCAAACCTGTGGTCATTATTTTCATGAATTAGATGGGGGCTGGCATCTGTGAGTGCGTGCGTGGAAATAAGTGCAGGGAGATGGGCATTTTGATCGGAGAGCCTTTCGGAGGATTTGATGCTTGGAAGGGCCTGCTGCAATTTGCTGTTACCCCTTTGTGTCCAGATCAGGAACCCAAGCCCCACACAGCGGTGTTGGTAGGGCCGTTTCCAGCACACCCGGCAACGTCCTCTTCTGCCTCATGGAGAGAAGGTCCCCCCTGGAGGCCTCAGCAGCCCTCAGAAAAGCTGTTGGAGGGGCTTCAGAGTTGGCAGGGAAATCCCACTACCTCTTAATCCCCTTCCCCCCAGACCTGGTGAAGCTCCCTCGAATGTGTCTGCCGTATGTTTGGGATCATACGTATGCATCTCCTGCATGCGTGTGAGAGCAGCGGCGGCACAGTGACTCCGTGTGTTCTGTTGCAGGTTGCTCGTCGAGCGCATCTTTGCTCAGTACATGGTCCCCCACAACCTGGAGACGACGGAGCGCATGAAGTGCTTGTATTACCTGTACGCCACGCTGGACTTAAACGCGGTCAAGTATGTTCGAGGGTCACGTCTTCCTTCTCCATCGCTCGCCCAAGGAGGGGCACGTGAGAAAGAAGCTGCTCGTGTTTCCGTGGGGAAGGCCTGCTCACGGGGCTGTTGCTGGGGGCTGTGAAGCTAATGCCACCTCTCGGCGACCCCGTGTGACGGAGCAGAACTGCTCCTCAGGGTTTCCTGGGGCCGATTGCCAGGTCTTTCCATGGCACAGTCAAGGGTGGGAGCCAAAAGGCTCATGGTCGGAGCCTAGGGCGCCTCGAGGAGGCCTGCTCGGGGGGTGTGTTCGTCTGGGTACTTTAGAGAAACAAATCCACAGCAACTCAGGTATAAGAGAGTTTTATGTAAAGAAAGTGTGCATCACGAAAACATCCCAACCCAATGCTGCCCAAGCCCACAAGTCCAACATTAACCCATTAACCCAACACCAGTCCACAAAGTCCTCCACCTCACAAAACAGAGGCAATGACGCCGACTGCAGGAGGAAAGCTGAGTCAGTGAACAAATAAGCATCTCAGCACTAGCAGGGGTCTCCACACGGCTGCTCCAGCACCCAGGGCTGCATCGGGATAGGTCCATGCGGCTTCTCCTTGGGGATGTCTTGTAGGAAGTCAATCTTGCAAGCTGAAGCAGGGAGCTGCTAAGGCAGCTGCACCCTGGTGCGACCATCACAAAGCAAGAGACCCGAGAGCCAGAAAGGCGAGGCTCACCACCCATTTATGCCTCCGCCTTTCAATTAGCCTCACGTGATTATCGGCCTGGTTGGCACAATTAACTAACTCGGGGTTAGAGAGCAATGAGATCCTTGGCAGGTCCTTCCCAGCAATGTGCTGCCCGCGTCAAGCAGGAGAGAGAGCTGCTCAGCGCGGGCTCTTGGTGGATTTGATTTTTTACCTCCAGGTTTTTAATATCACTGGTTCTCAAGAAATGTTGCCAGTGTCCTTGTCCACTCTTCGGTCTGCCCCCACATGCACCTTCTAATTCTCACCCGGAGGCCTGTGGGATAGGAGTTTCTGGGCTGCTTGGCCTTGCCCCAGAGCAGGGTTTGGCGTGAGGTTTAGCACAAGTATATTCTCAGGTGACACCTCGTCGCTGGTGGCTCTCGGGTGGGAATCATAGCTTTTGACATAGAGGAGACATGGCCCGCCTAACGGAGTTCCAATGAGGGCTCTGAAGTTGGGCTGTCTTAGAGCTGGTTTGGCTCAGGTTGAGCCATGGTGTTCCGGCCTGCCCAGTTACGGCATGGGGTGTGAGATGATGTTCAGAGCAGCGTGCAGCTGCCTGGAGTCTTAGACCCTGAACCCTACTGCCTCTCGGCTTTAGTTTCCGTTGGAGGGCTGTCCTCATACTTCTGTCTTCTGCAAAATAGGGTCTAGAGGGCAGGAAGGCACACCCCTGACACCTGCTGTGCTCCAGCCTCGGAGGTGGTGGGGCAGCAGTGTTGCTAGAGTGGGGCAGCGTTCATTTGTAGTAACAGTCCGTGTGGCCCTCAGCACTGATGGTGCTTCCAGCCTGGCCCTTCCAGAGGAGCTCGCCAGGTGGTGCTCTCCCAGACCTCCACACAGTGCCCTGCAGGCCACAAACTGCACCCGGTGGCTCTCTGAGAGTAGCAAGCCCCGTCACCCTCCACTGCCTTCCAGGGCTCCTCGACGACGGCCTGCTGCAGTCTTATTAACAGTCAGATGCAAGCCCAGGTGTGACCCAGCTCTACCTGGTTCCCACGCTCCCTCTTTCTCCACTGCATGAGGAGAGACGTTAACCCCTGCCATCAGTCCCTTCTGACTTGCAGTGACCTCATAGGACAGAACTGCCCCGTAGGGTGGTCAAGGCTGTCAGGACTACAGAAGCAGACGACCTCCTCTATTGGGGCTGGTGTGTTAGAGCAACCGACTGCTTGGTTCACTGCTGAGCACTTAACCACTGCACTACCAGGGCTCGCTTGTCCAGTGGCGGCTTGTTAGTCCTGGCGCCCCCTTTCCCTGCACGTGGCATTGTTTGCTAGCTGGGCGAGTTCTCCCTCATCTCTGTCACCCCTTCTCTAGTGTGAGCTCTTCATTTGCAGGTGGCCCGCACCTGGAGTGCTGTAGAAGGAGGTCTGTTCTGTTCTTCACGTTTATCTGCGTGTGTTTTCCAGAGCGCTGAATGAGATGTGGAAGTGCCAGAATCTGCTCCGGCATCAAGTCAAGGACCTGCTCGACCTGATCAAGCAGCCCAAAGTAAGTTCTTCCAGGAGGCGCCGCCTGCTTTGCCGGGTCCTGGAGTGCGCCAGATCGCCGCATCTGCTCACCGTTTACTGTGGCGCGCAGTCCAACAGCGTGTCTTCGTTTACCGTGTCCCGCTGCGTGTCTGTGCCAGACAGCCAGCACGCCTTTTTAGGGACTGACGCCCTCCCTGAGGAATCAGTCGTCACTCCGACGGAAAGTGCGTGTGCTTCCAGGGACCCCGAGTCAGGGGCCTCTGTCGTTTGTTTTCTGTTTTAAAATGAAGGAATAGCAATAGTAATTCAGCATTATCGAAAGCATAAGAAGTGGAGTAAATGGTACTTCACATCATGCCACCCCAAGACGCTCCCATCATGAAAAATCCTGTGCTCTTAGACAGTTTTAGCCCTCATGGTATTGGAATGTTTGTACTTAAGTTGTTATGTTAGGTGTAATGATCACTCAGCGTGCTTTTCATCCAGTGGCTGTGTTAGGTTTTGTCCTCGGGTGTTAAGCAAGCGGGATAGAGGTGTGCATGGCGGGCACACACACGTAAAGCACATCTAAGAAAGCAGTCTAGTACATGCTGCCCGTGATCATGCGGTCCACGTCCCTACAACATCCTGTGTCCAGAAATCAGTAAGATCATGCTGCTTCGTGCTGGGTTTAGAGCGACACACTCACTCATGTAACAGCACATTTCGCGCCCCCTCTGTGGTGGGTAGGGCATTGGGCTGCCAAATGCCAAGTCAGCAGTTGGACCACCAGCCGCTCCTTGAGAGAGAGGCCTTCTCTTCTCTGTAGGTATCACCTTTCAGTCTGGGAAACCCACAGCAGTTGCTCTACTCCGTCCAGTGTGGTCGCTGTGACCGGCATCCACTCCATGGCCGTGAGGAGTGCCTGATCGAAACGGACAGCCAAGTAGTGTTTCGGTGTTGGAGCCTCAGGACCACCTGTCTGTTTCTTGAATGTGGTCTCTGTGAGCGAGGAGTTCATTGAACCTTCTATGAGAAATGTCCCCCATAGTACGCATTCCAGTAAGTCCACTGTTTCCTCGTTCTGCCCCGTGGGGGGAACTGGAAACCTCAGTGCCACCGAGAGCCTTCCCGTATCTGTCTTAGTGCATAAGTTGAGCGAGACGCCCAGTTTGCTGTGCCAGAGGAACACTTACTTTCTTTTTTTTATTTTATGACTGAGGGAGGCTTGTTGATCAGCAGATGTGCAGGGCAGTCTCTGATTGTCGCTGTGGCTGGATCACAGTGAGGCGTGTGACTCCAGCATGCTCATCGTGGTGAACTCCTGAGGAGTGAGATATCATTAGCCAGACCTTGGCTTTTGGCCCTTTCGGTCTCTGCTTCCTGGGTCTTCCTCTTACCCACTGGTGGGCGATAGCCGGGAGAAGAGCCTCATGACTCCTCCTGTGTCTGAAGTGGGAATCACAAAATGTGTCTCCAGGAGCTCGGAAGGGGCGCTGAGGCCGTTCCTGCCTTGTGGCCCTCTGCCTCTGCTCAGCCTGGCTGCCTGCCTGCCGATCGATCGAGTGGTCCACACTGGAGAGGGAATTCCCAGGAAACCAGGCAGGGGAGGATGGTGGCCTAAACTGGGATTCTCATGTGAGGCGAGATGAGGTGAAGTCAGGCCCCAGGTGGTGTAGTCACTTAGCCAGCTCGGTTGCTGGCGGTGGAGACATCTCGGAAGAGGCCTGGCACTCTGCTCCTCATGGGTCAGCTGTGGAGTACTCTGGAGCAGGTCGACTCTGACCTCAGGTGGTGCGCGCTGC